CACCCCTCTTTAAAACATGTATCTGCTTGTTATTACTTGTCATTTCCGAAACTAATAATTATTATTATAAATAAAAGTACAAACTTCAAAATCGTGTTTAAATGACCCATTAACATTCACTGAAATCGAATTTATAAGTGATAAATGAAACAATTAGATATTAGACTAATGCACTATAATCAAAATTGGTGACCACTCTTTACCGGTTAATTGATTTGATACTAAAGTGTATTTATGCTAAAGGTTAAACATTTAATAAAATTTCCTTTTAAACAACCAAACCAGTACCGGTAACTTGATCCAGTGATATTACCCAATTATTTTCGCAACCGAAAAAATCACACCCTTTCGCTATTTTGCGTGGTGTTGGGTGGACGAATGGGTCTAAAATGGTTCTCAGTCTCTCACAATTAAATATTTATTATTATTGCTAGCAAAAAATTTACATGAACTTGTTATACAGACGAACGAGACATACCAGAGCAGCATGACATGTAGTTCGACGAAACTTAAAGTTTGCGCTCATCATTGCCTTTGCCTCAATTTCTCCAACATTGCACCACATATGCCTTCTGTTGTCCTGTTAGTAATGGGGCAACTTACGTTCTCGCAAGCGTCGTTTTCGCGTCTTTCGCGAGTGCCAGAGCGTCCCGTTTTACAAGTCGTCGCCTCAAAATTAAACCTTTCCTTAGCAAAGTAATCTTTCGAATGGTCATCCAGCCTGATAGCCATTGGATAACGGGACAGGTAACTGTCAGACGTCTATCATACGTGCCATTGCGACGTCACACTCCCGCATTTTGTAACAGGCTCGCAGAACTGGATGGAAGCATTTTCAAGAGTAAACTTCACTAGCGGACTTGCAACAAGCGCTCGTACACATGAACGAACACTCAGCGGATCCAGCGGTTGGATTTACGAACCGAAGGGATCGAACCAAAGTTTGAAAGCAAAATTAAGATATTCATGAACTCATTTTGAGCGAGCAGTAAAATAAAAGATTATATTTCACATATGGCCTGTCATATGCGATTGTATACTATTTATGGTTACACATGGTTTCAATAATGCGAGCAGTTTCATTAGGAGAACAGCAGTGGATTGAAGTAAGGTACCCGAAAATTCTGTACCTACTGAAATAAACAACCAAAACTGTCCATACGAGGGCTTCTACTCTAATAATATATCAACAACAACTTAATAACACTACAATCGTATTAAATATTAATTTTATTCAATACATTACTATTAAAACAAATGTAAAATTCTTAATTCTTCTCAATCGATTTTAATTTGTTAATTTCGTCAATTATATTTTATTGTTGCAACTTGTCTGCAATTATTATTGATGAACCCTGGTATTTTAGATAGCGACCAGAATAATACAAGTGTCTTTCGTAACATTCGTTCATTATTTCTGTAGATATATACATATGTAATCGTAGCAGGTCAGTCTGGTAGTTTCAGTTATTGGGTGTGCATTAGTTGTTTTATTAATAATTTTGCCGTTTCCCCGAAAATGCGATTTCGTTTTCGAGCTTTTTCCAGAAAATTTTTATATAAGGTGACAGGAGTGCAGAACATCTAAAGCAGTCTTTTCTGTCTCTAACCAGTCACACTTTCTCAAAATATAACAGATTAATTCAAGAGGCACTGTTATCACCGCATCTTACCTATAATTTGCCAATCCAGATAAGGTCCACGTCATGGTACACCGAAATTATCACAAAAATTAAAAACCAAGCATACGATACAAGGAATGGAATCAAGTGGAAAACCGAAACAATAGGGTACTTGCCTGATATCAGAAATGCAAGATAAACATAAACCAAGCATACGATACAACATGTAACATTTATTGGTTTAAAGATCATACAATAAATACATTCATGAAACGTTAATTTAAATAATATTTTCTAAGCGTTGGTTATTGACAATATCCAATGTTAAGTAAATAAAAATTTATTAAAATAATATACAAATTCAAACGCAAAAAAAATATGTAAGTGGCAATTTAGGGAGAACATACTTATGCAATAAAACTGTATTAATAAAAACTTGCTATTAACGTTTAACTGCAATTATCGTTAAAAATATGGATATTCACATGAAACCAATTTTTTAATGTAATACGGGAATTGCTTCAAATAATTGAGGGTAGTTGTAGTTTGTGCGTAAATATGGAAATCAAAATATTTTACTGCATTCACAGCAGGTTTTTATAGCTGTACAAAAATCTTTGTAAATTACAATTCAAAATACTAAAATATCTTCCATAAATATTTATACAGTAGGTGGATCCATGGATAATTTCCCGTATAACTTCATTTCAAGTTTGCTGACGCTCTTCTCTCTTGTGACTTTTTTACTTTTCCGTGTTGGAAAGGAACAGTCTCCACCGGTTCCTTTACATTGCGGCACTCTGCTGAAACTTATGTGATCCTAGTTGGATGATATCTTCATTTGCATAAGTATCACAGCAATTTAATCCTTAACCCTGTACAAACAACAACAACTTATTTCCGAAGCTACCTTATGATTGATGATACCTTTTTGTCTTCTTCAAAAGTTGATAGATATGCGCTATTGTCAATAGCATCAAATAGCAAAAGTTTTTATTAAGGAGAGGAAACACATTTAGGGAAATTAAAACTAAACCGACAAATACTTAAAACGCAAACATGTTCTGAGACCAAAAGTCCATGAAGATAATTGGGAAAATTGCGACGTATTCTTTCTACAAAACTGATTGAACAAATCAACAGGTAAGTACGAATGAATTTTGTATTTGAAACCAATAATAGCGCGTTATATGTGTATGTTGAATTTGTTTCTTCATGCCCAAATACGTTTCAAGTAGTGCACTACAAGAAGATTACGTTGGAAATAAGAAAACCGGTTTACTGAGAAAGTTCTATTGCAGAATCGACTGAATTCTTTGCTCTTCAACAAACTGAATATAGAAGATTATTTGCTAATGAAGAGTTGGGAGGGATAGGAGACCATTTCAAAATAGTTTTGGTCGTTAAAACTGAGGATTTATTAGCTTCAAATGCCAGGATTGCATAAACGTGAAACAGGCTACATGAACTTATCGTTAGTCGGGAAAGCGTCACCGTGGAGAAATACAAGGTAAACGATAGAACGAGCGCCAGCCCGCTCATGATCAGCATAATAACAGTAAGGAAACGATTCTGTATTAAGACCTGGAGTTGGTCGTTTTGAACGTTTTGCATTTCATGTTATCCGGGTACCAAGAAGTCAGTAAAGGCGGTCCTAGGGGTTGTCTGTTAAACCTAGGGCGTTACCCGTTTTATCTGACAGTACATTCCTTGAGTTGATATTATAGCCGAATTTTCAACACACCACAATAGTTGATGATGCCCATTATTGACAGAAAAGCAACACATTTTTTAAGGGTAAATTGAGCAACTTTGGCGTATCTTTCTCAGTTCAAGTTGTACATAACACTAACCTGTTTCAATCAAGAATCTGATGAACATTTGATGAAATATTTCTTTTCGATGAAAATGTTTATAATTAATTTTATTTTTATGAGAGTCAGGCTAATTGCCATTCATTTGACAGCGTTTTTATAAAATTGAGGAGATTATGAAAAATAGATTCGAATGCTCAGAAAATTTTGTCTTCGAAAACTTATGCCTTTCATTGTCAGTTAGCCTTATGGCAAGCTAAAATATGTGTTGAAGAGGAGGTGCAACAAAGTGTTAAAGATGAAGCAACCAAAGAGGAGTCTGTTCAAGAACCGCCCCTTCACCTTTACCCGCGGTTCATTTTATTGTCAAAAACACATCTACTTCCACCCCTCTTTAAAACATGTATCTTGTATCAACACTCGTTTTTAAAGTCTCATATTAAGACTGCTCAGTACATTGCGGAAACTGTAATTAAATTAATAAAGAAAATAATTAGGTACCAATACATTTGTTTATATTCTCTACTATAAAATGTAATATCTTATGCAGCTATAGGGGAACTAAAATCAATTATATGTATACATATGTGGCTTCAGTAAAATATTACACCAATTGGTTTAAATATTGCAGTATTTTTCCAGTATCTGCGTCAAATTCGTCGTAATAATTAAATTATTTATCGTTGAAATGTATAATCCTATACGCCCCCGTCTAGAGGTCTGTTTCGTTGGTCACTGATAGCAGATACAAATGATCAATTTAATTAGGTAGATATGAATTATGAAGATACAGTGTGATCATATAGAGTGAAACACCATAGGTTTGCTCAGGTGCTTAGGTGTTCAAAATTACAATATGCACAAGAATCATTAATGTTTACAGACAGACAAAATTTTGCAATTAAATGTCGAGTTCTTTTGCGATTGCTTCTCTGGTACTGTGTTATTACAAATTGTTCCACTTGCGAAGTACACTTATTAGATAGATATACGGATACCCATTTTCTTTTTATGAAAAAGTTAAATTATTTATAAACAACACACGTATTTTCAACTTGATCAGTAGCTTGTCGTGGTTGTAGTATAAACGTGTACAATCGAAACAAAGGCAAATGAAATTATTAACAAAAACTTAACAACTAACAACCTACAACAATCAGCTATCGAGTGATATTACCGTTTCAACTTCGTCACATTCTCTTGGACAAGTCTTCTTAGTGGAACAGGAGAACAGAATCAATTCCTGTTGTTATGGGGAATGAATGCAATTTACCCTAAGCACTTCAGAACTGGTCGGATTGTACGCCTGGTACTTTTTCGGAAGAGTTTTTTATCAGATCTGCATAAATTGCTTGGTTCTTATATGCCTTTTATTCAAAACTTTACTCAATTCAAGTAAGTTTTCAGGATCTCAGCATTTTTAGAGGTAGTGTGACATTTCAAATTATCAGGACGGCATGTGAAAATTGAGCTTTACATCATTACCTGATTACCTCTTTAAAAAACATGTCGAAGATTTAATGCAGCGGTATTCACTAACATTAAAGACCGTTGTATGTTGTAGTGCTCAAAAACTGCTTGCTTCTTTGAAATATTTTTTCCATTAATCATCATTATTATTCAAAGTTGACTCAATTCAAACAAGTTTTTAGGATCTTCAGTCATGATTTGGTAGAACAATATTTGCCATCATTAAAAGCTGCAGTACTGTTGTAGTGTTAGAAAACTGGCTGCTTTTTATAAATTATTAACCAATGCTCATCGGTGTTTGACTCAATTTAACTAAATCTTCAGGATCTGATTTTTGAATCTATTACTGTTGAAAACTGAGCTTTTTGTTCACTCTTCACTCAGTCTTTCATGAGGGAATGAATCTATCATCTTTTAAATTATCAGGTAGATGTCTGAAAATTGAGCTTTAGTCCATTAATGCTTTAAAAAGGGAAGCCAGTATTGCTCATAGTGTTTGAAAGCTACTTGGTTTTTCACATTTTTGTCCATTGGAAGCTTTTGGTTCACTCTTGACTCAATTCAAATTAGGCATTGTGAGGATTTTAGTCCTTCATGAAGGATTGTATCTGTTATCTTTCAGTTTATCAGGTGGATGTGTGAAAATTGAGCTTTAAACTGTTAATGCTTTAAATAGGGAAGTCAGGATTGCTCATACTGTTTTGGTTTTCAAAATTTTTTTCATTGGAAGCTTTTGGTTCACTCTTGACTCAATTCGAATTAGGCATTGGGAGGATCTTAGTCCTTTATGAAGGATTGTATCTGTTATCTTTCAGTTTATCAGGTAGATGTGTGAAAAGTGAGCTTTAAACTATTAATGCTTTAAAAAGGAAAGTCAGGATTGCTCATAGTGTTTGAAAGCTACTTGGCTTTTCAAAATTTTGTCTTCCATTGGAAACTTTCTACTCACTCTTGACTCAACTCAAACGAAGCAATATCAGGACTTCAGTTAATCATGAGAGAATGCTTCATTTGTTGAAACACCTTGGTTTTCAAAAATTGTCATCCATTGGAAGTGTTTTATTAAAGCGTGACTTTTTTTAAAAGTTCGGCCTGCATCTGTCGATGAGATCCTTTGAAATCAGGATGTCATGTGAAAATTGAGCTTTAGATGTTTAGAAAATTAGTGCAGTGACTTGTGCTTCGTTTTTAATGTTTTAGTCGACAGTACAGCGGTTGTGTTCTCGCGAGTTGTACAATAGGAGTGGTGGTAATTATGTTTTTTAAGCTGTTTCTCGCTGGAAATACTACGAATTCCAGGCAGTTCGTGTAGAAACGTTGTTGATAGAGGACGTACCGGTTCGATAAATAGTTGCTATCACAACGTGCTGTTGACGTTTTACTAACTGATACTCAGTTCCGTGAAGCATAATCGGTGATAATAGCTCATCATCAAACCTGTTTTGTTTTAAATGTGGAAATTACACACTTAATTTTCATAGCAGGTTGTATCGTTAGTTATTCTGGGTGAAACAAATCTTGCTCGATCTGTTGATTTTACGGATCGCCGTACAGCAGCTTTTCAGGTAAGGTTTTACCTTTGGTTGACGGGTTCGCTTTGGTCGTATTTACGATTCACCTACATTTCTTTCTGTTCATAAACTTTGCTGCGGTTACCACACTATCTACGTATCTACTTAGTTTGGTACCATAAAATGGTAACTTTAATGTAGTGTTAAAAATGAAGAATGTCTTACCGTTTTAGTATCGTTATATAATTTAACATCTAACACATTATTTATTAGGCAATTAAATAAATTATCAGGGTTCAGTTAGTTACTTTACGTAGTACGTGGATCCATTTTTTATTTAATCGTTGCCAATCAATAAAAATAGTACGATGGCACTCATAACAGTAGTAGGTCAGGGTGAGTTACATCTTTGTCAAAAATTAACTTTAACATGCGCTATCTTTAATAATTCTTTGATTACCTTTACCCTTACATAAATGACATCCTTGACGGTGTATTTTGCTTCGGGGATAGTCATTTTGACCTTTTGTTTTCGTTATGCAGACAGATAAATAATTAACAAAAAAGAAATTGAATTTTATTCATAAATTAGGATTACAAGTTATACCTTTTTAAAAAACAAACTGATCAGATAAATTGACAAAACTGAAAGGTGAAATTACACGAAAATGCGCCATACAAAGTTACCTATTTAAATTACAAATTAGGTAGATGGTTTTTAAATGAGATTTTAATGATGAGTGTAGTTGTTGTGGCATGTAGTAATAAATTCATTGAAATTGTTTCTTCCTATTTGTATGTTTCTAGATTTCAATTCCAGTAAATGAGTCTACAGGTAAAGTTTTAATAATAGAAATTTTCAGAATGAAACCCTTTCAAGAAGGTACCTAGATTTATACCTACCTGCTTGTGGGTTTTAACAATTAATTTAAAATTTGAAGAGGGTTTCTACAAGTTTTTTTGTGTTGTGTACATATGTCCGATACTCAATCCATTATTCATGAGAAAAAAATGAACCATAATTTCAGTTGGTATTTAAGGAAAAAATAGGGGAAGTCTCAAGATGCAGGAAGTGAGGTTTTCACGACCTTTTAATAACCAATTATCTAATAAATAAACGTGCTACTTATATATACATATACATTATTCTTTTGAATCTATAACACTTGTTTTATGGCTTAAGTGATGTATCTATTGAATCTATATCCAATAAACGTTTAAAAATGCAAAACATTTTTTGTTACAATTTCAAAATATCGTATCATAATTTGAGCCTTACCTGATAACATAAATGCGAAATTTTGCATGTTACTCAGCGTTAACGTGATAACGAAGTTGAAATATTGTGAATAAAATTCGTGCAGCACGGTTTTGTCAGTTAGGATTTGGTAAATAAAATAGGTGAACTATCTAATCATACAACTCAAATCCTTGCGAATATTTTTACTAACAAATAATACAAAATACAATAAATATTCTAAAAGTTTCCTACATATTCCTAATATATCATACTAAAATAAAACGATTTAATTGTTGTACAATTTATTTTTGTTGGGCCTTTTTTTATATTATATCTTCTAGTTACTTTATACCTTTGTATTTTCCTGCACTTGTCTTTTCATCTTTCGTTCTTTCTGTAATAAACACTTAGATACTTAGGGTTACCAAAGCTTGGACCTACTGATACTGAATACTACAGTATTAGTCCAGAAAGTAATGTTCCTTGACAGCAAACTTTCTGTTAATAGGATAACAAGATAGGTAACAATTTTATAGGAACCAATTGAACATCAAGTGCTAGTAATAACTCCTAATTTTCTTAAAGGATTCATCCTGTCTCATCCCGTGGACTGATTGCTCGACTGGCGATGGTGTTTTCATGACATAATCATAAATTTCTGGACTCATAAGTAGATTTCATGTGACTATTTCGGTAACCTCGGGGTCACAAATACAAGGACTACAAGTCCTAAAGGATACCAATTAAAAACCTGAAGGTGTCTTCTTTAATTTATGAGTTTAACGTAAAAATATTTAAATATTTGTTGCTTATAAATGTTAGATGGGCACTTAGGTATACTAGGTGTTAAAAAATATCTGGCGATTAGCACCCAAATATGTTTAAATAGACCATGTTGTGATAGTACATTATTGTTGTTTACGGTTTTGAACTAATACTGTAGTTGTAGTAGGTACATTATTATAGTGAAGTACTAAACGGTAACTATTAAAGTATGCACTAAAACAAATTTTTCTATTTGTTTTTTGTTTTATAAAACCATGGTAACAAATAGTCAGTTAAACTACAACCGATTATCGTAAACAATTAGATTGTTTATGTAAGCTGAAAGGTCACCTTATGATATGATCAGCTGTGCAATACATACGACAAGTCATAAAGAAAAGTTTTAAATATTTTCATTATTACATTAAAGATTAAATTTGCAAAATAAGCAATATAATGCCCGGTTTCTAAATGTTACAAAAAAGTGTTTTGTTATTGTTTCTTAGAATACATATACGAACAAATTATGTTATGCAATCGATTTAGGAGTCGAAATGTACATTAATAATATTAAAAAAGTGTTAAAGTACATTCGTTAAGTCAATTACTGTAACTACTAACGACTTTTAAAATTATAACTTTTGAGCTATAACAATAAGACTAAAGTTTTATATACTTTTGAGAAGGTCACATAGAAAGTAAACAATTCAAGTAATTATATCATAATATTTACAACCCCATTTTGTTTCTGATCTTTTACACATTGTAATAAGAGAAGAAAATGGAGTCCGTAGTTTCTTTAGCTTTGGGTTCATCTAATAAGTAAAGTTCTTCTAAGAATTTTGGGTTATACGCACTTATTAGCTCATCACAATATCTTCTATCAATTCGATATTGTTTTGCGGGCTGTTTTGTCGTAATTCATAAAATTCCGTAGTTCCTTGCTAAAAGTACGATAAGTGGTGCGATTTGGCAGGTGCTGATATCAATTTGGAACTTCGAAATTACATGGACCATGACACTGAACGCGGAAAACAATATCGATCCAATATTTTAGATTATCCATTTCCAAGGAGTTAAGACTTTTTTGAGTTCTCTTCAGTTAAAGAATTAGAAGGCATTCATGGAATATCTATTTGTCTAATACCCTCAGTAGTCAATGTGAACAACTTTTATTCATCATTTTCAAATAAATCAAATCTCTAGAGATTGTGAAAATTGTTTACAAACGTTTTCTCAGTTTGCAGTCAAAATCTGCATGCTACAACTGTCGTTAATTTTGCGATGAATATTTCATAAGTCAATTGTCATTACATTCAAAATATTTTTAGGTGTGTTGGCATAACTATAATTTTACAATGAACTGGTTGATTCGTGCGCTTGGTACGATATCGTATCGTACTGAATTTTGATAGTAATATTAATAATTACCAGTGCCATTCAATTACAATTATTGTTAAGCTTTGAAACAGCTGTTAGCATAAATTTTCACTCGTTATCAGAAAACGATTCGTCACAAAGGTGATGGGTAACGTTTTAACTTATCATTCGTGTAGGTAATACTCGTCTGTAGATAAGATAGAGTAGAAAACATTGTGGGCTAACTGAAGTATGAATCACCTGTTTTTGTCTACTGTAATTTCATGTTATGTACGCTAGTTTGTGTTCTTCGTATAGATATGTGTTGGAAGTGAAAGTGGAACAGACCTTATTCAAATACTACGTCCGTATGTCTATTCTTTTATTAAATACCTTCATGCGTTACCTATCACCAGTAAGTAATGAGTAAGTGGCATGTTATTGCAAAGAATAGGTGACAAATGTGTTGTAGAAGCGAATCGAAAACAAGTAGCTTTTCTTTTTGTCTGTTCTTTTGACAATATTTAAGTACCTGATGTACGTTTCAGTATAGATTATCGTCAATTGTAGTCATTTCAATGTACAATAATGTAATTTTATCAAAAGAAACACATTGATCTCTTGTAATCGATAAATTGATAATTTTTTCTCCCATATTACCTTCCCATTTTCTTATTTGTTCATTATCATTATCATAATCGTCGGTCGTCAGTTCTAAGGCTGGTTGAACACGCACCTTCACTCTTTCCTATCCAGAGCTAATCTTCGCATTTCCCTAAAACTAGAACATTCCACATCCTTAACTATTTGCGAACAGTAATCGAATCTAGGTCTACCTCTACCCCTCCGAACTCCCTTTTCTGCCTTTAACATGTCTCTGACTAAACCTTCATGCCTGAGAAGATGTCCTACCAATCTATCTCGCCTAATTGTTATTGAGTTCCATAGAGTCCTCTGTACTCGTATTCTTTCTAATACCTCTTCATTTCTAACCTTCTCTATCCACGGTATCCTCATCATTCGCCTGTAACACCACATATCGAACGCTTCTATCTTTTTCTTTTCCGCCGCGCCCAATGTCCATGTTTCGCCCCTGTACAGCGACTTCTTTTTATTGAAGGTAACTCTACTCTGCGCTATCCTCTGCTTTATATCCCTACTACTCCTTCCGTCCTGACTTATCTGACCTGTGTTTTACTTGGGATATCATAATGTGGTGGTTTCCCGTTGCTTTCCACATTCTTATTTGTTATGTAACTATTAATCCTATATAGCGTTGGTTTTACGGTGACTACACTAGTACATTATTATATTAATAAATTATATTATTAGAATGCAAAAATGGTAATCCTCATTTTGACAGTTTTGCAGCACCATCCATCCCTGTTCCCATCTCTTCTTCTGTTGTCTATCTTTTTCTTAAATGGTATCAGAATATCTCGTATTATCTTACCCTTATATTTGATGTAGTTAAAGTATTATAAAAAGATAAGATAAGATAAGTTTTATTGTTGTGGCCTAATGTTAAATAGGTAGATACATTTTTTCAGTAATTTAGTATTTTGTTCGATTTCAAACAAGTGTCACTTTATAATACTTTAAATTCCTTTTGTATGTAATCACTTCTGGTACAAGGTACATAATTGTGGTAGTAATAATAAGCGTAGCATTCTGACGTTGATATCATTTA